TTGTGTGTGTGTGTGTGTGTGTGTGTGTGTGTGTGTGTGTATATTAAAAAAAAAACCTGTGGGGCATATGGAATTTATATCCCACTGAGACTAATGAGATTGAAGTAAGATCCAAATTCAGTAAATAAACAAATGTCTAAATAAAGAAGATATTCAACTGGCAGAGAGTTTTCTCCTGGAATAAGCACATTCTGTGGGTAACTAGCCCCAAGAAAAGTGGGAAAAATTGCTCCCAAAGGCTTAATGCTATCAGATAAAACCACTGTGTTTAACTGATAATCTGTCCCTAGTGGTGGGCTATGTTCTTGCAATGCAAAAATTATAAAGGGGCATGCCAAGCTCTATAGAATCATTTTTAGAAGATGCCACTTGGCCCTTCAAGTCTGACCGTTTGCTCAGTTCATGGGCCTTCATTAAAGCATCCCTGGCAGATGATTGTCTAGTCCAGTGTTTCTCAACCTTGGCAGCTTGAAGATGTGTGGACTTCAGCTCTGAGAACATCTCATGTGTGGGCTTCAACTCCCAGAATTCCCCTGGCTGGGAATGTTATTTTAGTCCATTTTCTTTAGCGTATCACTATTGATTTAAATTGTATTTTTCTCTACTAGAGTATTTACATGATCCCATCTAATTTCATGACATCTGCAAACGTATAAGCATTACTTCCATCTTTGTATTCTATTCATTAGCAAAAATGTTGAAGAGTGCAGGACCTAGGACTGAACCTTGTTGCATTCACACTTAATTCATCCCTCTGATTTGATGAAAAGCCATTGATGAGCATCTTTGACTTTGACTTTGTTATGCTACCCTCTTCACACTTGCTAGCATGATAAAGAGAATGTCATGTAGTGTGTGAAGTGCTTTGCTAAAATTAAAGCATATTATGTCTACTAACATTCCCATGATTTACTAAGGAAGTTACTTGATTATTTATGTATTTATTATATTTATTTATATATCAAATTTGTCACCGCCCATCTCATTGAAAAGACTCTCGGCAGTTTACAGCAGAGACAAAATTCATCAAAATACAATATAAAAGCAATCCTAATAATAAATAACTTCCAAGAAGGATGGAGAGTTGGTGAATAACTCGGGGAGGGTCATCAGGGCGCTAACCACCCCCAGGGACGGTTAGAGCTCATGTCACCCTATGCACCCTGGCAGAGCCAGGTCTTAAATCCTTTTCGGAAAGTCGGGAGGGTAGGGGCCCGTGGCACCTTTGGGGGGAGAATATTCCAAAGGGCAGGGGCAACAGCAGAGATTAAAAATAAGTTTAGGCTTGCTCTTGACAAACCTATGTTGACTTTACCACATTGTTTTCTAGAAGTTTACACATTGCTTTCCTTATCATCTGTTCCAGAATCTTCACAAGCATTTATGTTTAATTGACTGGATCCTCCTTCCACCTTTTTGAAGATAGGGAAATATTTGTCTTCCTTCAGTCCTCTGGCATTTCTCCTAGTTTCCTGCTGATGCAACTGGAAAGGCCAGTTGGCAAACTGAAAGGGACGGAGTGCAAGAACAAGATGGCTCTCAGAGAGTGCTGAAGCCAGACTCAGACCGAACCGGCTTGGCTCTGGTCTGCCTCTAGCCAAATAGCCCTCTGTGTCTGGCTGTTGGTCCTTCCCATTCACTCATCCCCTTAATGGGTTTATTAATGCATGTACTACACTGTGTTTTCATGTGTGTACTTTTCATGTTGCTGGTTGACTATTTGGGGCATTTGACCAAATCCAGTATATGACAATGCAGCGTGAAGTACCCTGGGAATTAGTGAAGAAATGGGGCAGGATGGTTGTGTTCAGCTTATGCTGGGATGGGACTAAACCCCAACCAGCCAAGGTGGAGGACAGGTTCCCAGCAAGCAGGTTGAGAATAGACCGATTGGTCAACAGGCAGATTGGCCAAGGCTTGGCTTATGGATCTGAATACTCCTTTGGAACCCTGACGTAAAATTGTGACCTAGTCCAATTGCCATGACATGCCTGTTTATACCAATACTTTCCCTCTTCAGAGTCAGTGGTGCCAATTTTGCTGTGGTTGTGGCAGTGTGATTTAATTTATATTTAGTATTTCACTGAAACTTGTCTCAGGGACTTGTATTACTCTTAACTGCCACTGAGTTGTTTGGTGAAAGGTGATCACTTTATTAAAAATCTAGTTTGCTGAACTCTTAGGTGTAAATTTCTTTTATTTTTTTTCTTGTCCCACTACTCAAAACAAACTCCCTTGCTCTTTATAGCTGTTCTTAAATCTTCTTCTTTAATGATCAAAAGCAAAAGCACTGTCTGAATGACAAAGAAACTTTTTTTCCTTAAGTGGATTTTCTTTATTTCATTTAAAATATACCAAGGATAAATGCTGATAAACAAACCTGGAAACTGAAGCTTGGAAAACAGAATACATATATTTTATTGAACATAGTACAAATGCAGTTTGCTAATATACAGCAAGAAATTTGAATTAAATTGCTTCTTTGCTATTGATTTAACTTACGAGTTTGACTTAATCAAAGCCTCATGCATAAATTCTTTGTCATCACTAGGCACCTGCCTGTAGTACACATACAGGGAATACTCAGGCTTTGGACTCTGGAAAGGGACATCTGAGATCAGATCTCTGTTCCCATTTGCCTCTGTACCAGCCTTTCTAGTTGGTATTTTATGAATCAAGACATTTTGACAACAGAAAGTGGAAGTATCAAGGATTGGTGGGGGAGAGGGGGGATTCAAAGGACTCTCCATTCCCAGCCTTCCAATGTGTCTTTGATCTGGAAGAAAACTTAAAGCAGCCATTTGAAAGCTGTTCTTTCCTGTATCTACCTGCTGGTCTGCAGCAGACAAGATTTGTTTTAGAATCACTGGAATATTTCAACTTTTTTTTGCACTGCTTTGTTCATGCTTTTGTTGGGTCCACTTTAGTAAGACTGGATTTAGCATTTCTTGTTCACATTCCTGGTTGTCAATATTAGGGTTCTGTTATGTAACCCTCCTGTTAAACTCACAATAAAATCATGGCTTCCTATAGATAAAAGAAATGTCTTCATGGATTGACAGTTTCTTATAGAAACAGCATCCAGTTGGTATGCAGGTAACACACTCAGCATTGTAGCTGTGTATTTCACAGTGTATTTATACAGTGCTCATAGGCTGGAAAGCTATTGCCAGTTTGACAATCTTATAACCATTTTACTGTTAGTTTGGCATAATCCTGAAAAGGTGCAGAAACTCATTCCAAATGTCACTGTTGTGGTTTATAAAGTCTTCCCTGATCACTAACAAAAGCTCGTACTCAGAATCAGTTTTCAGTGGTTCTCCATTGCTTAGTGCTTTGGCTGTGTGTAGCTCCTTCCAAAATATTCAGATTAACAGGGATTAAGGGATTATACAGATGACATTTCTTTGGTGCTCTGGTTGCTGTTTGAGTGGTTTATATATTTGGGTTTTCTCTCCCAGCCCTGTCGAATTTCAGTTAATGGTCTATCTATACAGGGGAATATTAGGAAAAACTTCATGACCAACACAATGCAAGGGATAATGAGAGAGAACATATAAACTGGAGGAAGGAACCATGGGTATGAAGCACGATACAAGAATCTCTTCCCACCATATGCCAGTGTATGGACTGTACACAAAACCAGTGTAAGGTAGCCCAGATAAGACTGTGGAAACAAACAAATAAAAAAAACGGTTATCAAACAAATATTAACTTCCCGATGCATTTTCTAGGGAGTTAGTGTAAAAACTATAAGAGGATTCTTCATAGCTATCCAAAATTGGCCTAGACTAACGTTTCCTAGAATTCCCAGACATGCAGCCCAACAGAGCCTGAGGGTGCCAGTCTGAGGAGCATTCAACTAGATTAAGTTATCCTTCTACAACAGTGTTTCTCAACCTTGGCAACCTGAAGATGTGTAGACTTCAACTCCCAGAATTCTCCAGCCTGGCTGGGGAATTCTGGGAGTTGAAGTCCATACATGTTCAAGCTGCCAAGGTTGAGAAACATTGTTCTACAGGCTGAAAGGTAAGACCAGTGTATTTATCAGAATGATTTAATTGACTGAGCCTGACAAGATTGCAAAAAATGTGTACAAAATACCTCTTAAATTGTATAAGGCAAATATTTCAGTAATAAGGACTATCAGGGACAGTTCTCTCCTTTGCATTAAATTGAAATATATAACTGAAAAATAGGAAGCCTAAGTCATTGAATAATGTATTTATTTATCTAAAGTAGATTTTTCTCAGAGTTTGTGTAAGCTTTTTGCCTAAAAAAAACCTCCAGGAACAATGATCTTCTCCATGCCACAGTATTTATTTGTATACGTATATATACAAACAACCACAGCATTTAGTCCTCAAATGTATATGCATAAAGACCAGTCAATGAGTAGTTTTCATGAACATGTCAGTAAGAAGAATTAGAAAAGCACTCATTGGAGAGGCTGTTCTCTGTGGTGGGGCAACCTTGCATTCTCCCACAATTCCCAGAAAGGAGTGATGAAAGTTGAAATCCTACACATCTAGAGGGAAGGAGTTAGGAGAAAGATGTTACAGTTCTGAGAGCAGGGCATCTAATTTCCCAAAGAGGGGGAATCAGGAGAAGACGGCTTTGGTGAACATGTTGGTAAAATTTCTTGCCCATTGCTGCCCATGTTGTTTTAATGGCTGGTAAAAAATGCAGGGGGGACGCGGTGGCGCAGCGGCTTAATGACGCTGAAAGTTGCCAGCCAGAAATGGTCAACGCTTCAGCGGTTCG